ATAAAATGGAAAAAAGAGATGACAAATAGTGTGAAAAGCAGAAATTACAAAAGAAAAGCTAATTCTGAGAGAGTAGTTTCTTATCCTGGGAAAAGGAATTTTAGTCTCTTTTTCTGGGACAAGAAGGTACTTTTGCCAGGCATAATGGCRCACCCCTGTAACCCCAGCAGCTGGTGAGGCTGAGGCAGGAGGAGTTCAAAGCCAGACTCAAATTTAAGTGAGGCCCTAAGCAACTCAGGAAAAACCCTGTCCCTAATTAAAATATTTAAAAAGAGCTAGATATGTAGCTCAGTGGTTAAGTGCCCCCTGGGTTCCATCCAAGGGCCCCAAACAAACAAATAAACAAAAAGTCACTTTCCTCTTTTCCTCTTTCTCTTAAAAAAAAAAACAAAGCAAATAAAGTGCTACTTTAGAAACTGGAAACCTTGCCTTGCTTGGTCATGCATTCATTCAACCAACAGGTATTCATCCAGTGCCCACTCAAAGCCAAGTTTTGCCAGCAGAAAGTCAAGGAGCTCTCAGTCTTCCACGCAAATAAACAAGTAGACAATATTATTTCTAGATGGTGCTAAAGTGCTTTGAAAAAATTAAGATCAAAAGAGGCTGAGGAGGGAGGCAACTGTTCTAGATCACAGAAAGATTCTCTGAAACCCAAGCAAAAAAGGAGTCAGTCATGCAAAAATTTGGAGAAAGGGGATCTTGAAAAGAAGGGCTAACAGTAGAAAACCCTTGGGGCAAAAAGATATGACATTCTCAAAAACTTCAGGAAGGCCMGTGCAGCTGCAGCAGAAGGCAGCAGGGTGCACCAGGGGGGGACTAGTGGGAGAAAGTGGAGCAAGGGGACAGGCCATGCAACACCCACAGAGAAAGTGGGATTATATCTGAAGGGCTAAAGGGCAAGGGAAAACATTGGTAAACTGTAAGCAGGGGAGTGGAATAGTCTATTTATTTATTTATTTATTTGGTACCAGGGATTGAACTTAGGGGCACTCAACCACTCAGCCAAAAATCCCCAGCCCTATTTTGTAATTTTATTTAGAAATAGGGTCTCACTGAGTTGCTTGGCACCTCGCTTTTGCTGAAGTTGTCTTTGAACTGGGGATCCTCCAGCCTCAGCCCCCAGAGCCACTAGGATTACAGGCGTGCACCACCACATCAGGCCTGACTTACTTCTAAGTCCTCCAGAGCTATAGTCACAGCTCCTAGGGAACTTCAGGAYGGTGAAATCCTTTACAGATCCAAGCACTTTACCACCTTTTGTTAAAAATGATACACTGAAAACTGTCAACTCTAACAAAACACCTTTAGCCTACAGGCCCTGGCTGGCTTTTCCATCATTGTAGGCTTAAATTCAAAATGATACCTCTCCCTTTTCCAGAGATTTATACCTGTGGGAGCACCTAGTGGTTGAGTTGATAGACCCTAGGGAAATGCTGAGGTAATTTACAAAGGGAACTGATCCTGAACCTCCATTTGAATCTCACCTGCGCATCTTTTGCCTCTGCTTTTCCTATCCTAAGGTATCCTAAGATACCCTATCCCTTGCCACATTTTTGTTGCTTTCTTTTYCCCATATGCTCAAAACTAAATATTCTGAACGTGAGCTATTTGGCCAAACTGAAAAGTATTAAATGTAAACAATCCCACAGCTAATGTTCCCGCATAAGGCACATCTTTGGCAAGGACCAGATGTGGTGGTGCACATCTGTAGTCCCAGAGACTCGGGAAGCTGAGGCAGGAGGATTCCAAGTTTGAGCCCAGCCTCAGCAACTTAGTAAGGCCCATACAACAGAGTGAGACCCTGTCTCAAAATAAAAAATTTAAAAAAAAAAAAAAAAAAAGGCTGGCTGGGGATGTTGTTCAGTGGGATAAACACCCATGGGTTCAATCCCCAAAGCTCTCCCCCCCAAAAAAAGGAATAGCTGAATTTGAATTTGGATAACTTAAGAGTCCTTTTTGAAACTAACTTGCAGCTTTGATTAATTCAAAGTACTTTTGAATTAATTAATTCAAAAACCTATATGCACACAAGAGCACAAGAGGGAGAAATCKAAGGTGTGACTGCATCCGTTGTATACATGTTTGTGCTAGAAGGTAGAGAAAACAGCATCAGAAACTGGATGACTAACAAGATCCACCTGCACAAAGGAGCAGTGGGAAAGAACCAAAGCTGAGTAGACCAAGAGGTGTGGGAACTTGTGTCTCTGTTAACATCTGATGCAACAAGCCCTTCACTCCCCTACCCCACGTCCCAAATAAAGTCACCAGTCGACCTTTCCCACTGGCTACRCAGTCTGGAATACCATCCAGATATTAAGCAAAAATCAACCTTTCTTCTGTGAACAGAACAGCAGCTCATCAGCACTACTCACATCCCCAACCCCCACGCACCTAGAAACATCCAGTGGCATAGAACAGTGAACAGCAGCCCTCAAATGAGCTGGGGTGGAGCAGGGAGAGAGAGAAGGTTGCCAGTCTCTGAACACCAACTGCTTCATACAGTTGAAAACAAACTACACTGTGCCCTTAGATTTTCCAAAGCCTAAGTAGTGTGACTGGTGGCTCAATGATCTCAGGATTGCATGCAGTATGGGCTATTTACCTGATCTTGTACTTCACATTCAACTTAATGCCTTTTATAGCTCATTGCCACCAACTCCCACTAGACCAGAGTTCCTAATCAGCCACCTGCATCACAATCTTATGGACCACTCATTAAAAATGCAGATTCCAAAGCCTTCTGCTCCAGAGCTCCCAAGTGGAATACAGAAAATAAAAAGTAAAAATAAAAATGTTCAGGAGGCTGAGGTGGGAAGATGGCAAGTTTAAGGCCAGCCTGGGCAACTTAGCAAGACCCTGTCTGAATATGAAAATTTTAAAAGAAACAGGGATGGTGGAGCATGACTGTAATCCCAGTGATTTGGGAGGCTGAGGCATGATCACAAATTTGACACCAGTGTCAGCAATTTGGTGAGACCCTCAGCAACTAAGTGAGACCCTGTCTCAAAAGAAAATGTAAAAAGGATGGAGGATGTAGCACAATTGTAAGGAGTCCCTGGGTTCCATCCTCAGTACCAAAAATAGATAAAAAGGTTAGGGTGTACCTCAGTGGCAGAGTGCTTGCCCCGCATGCATAGATCCTGGGCTTAATCCCCAACGGTGCAAAAAAAAAAAAAAAGAAAAAGAAAAAGAAAAGCAGATTTCTGTGCCCCACTGAAAATAAACTGCTCTAGAATGGCCTGACAAACTATTTTTAATCACTACTGGGATCAGGGTAATCTTTTTGCACATTTAAGTCTGAGGACCTCCACCCAAAAGTGATGTTTCTCAAACTGTGGGTCATGACCCATTTGGTTAGTAAATCAAATTCATGAGTCATACCAGCAGTTCACTTTTTTTTTTAATGAAGTATAAAAAATTAAACAGAACACACCGCAGGTAGTAAGTGCAATAATTACTGTTTCCTGGAACTTATTTCAGTTGGGGACCTGTACAGTGCAGTAAATGTATTCCTCATGGTGGATCCCATTCAATGTCTGAAAATTATGTTCCTAGAGGAAATAAGGAAAATAGCATTTTTATACATGCTGTTTATTTTCTTTTTCTTTTTGAGTGAGGATTAAATCCAATGATGCTTTACCACTAAGTTACATCCCCAGTCCTTTTTTAATTTTTAGACAGGGTCTTTCTGTTGCCAAGACTGGTCTTGAACTTACCATCCTCCAGCCTCAGGTGTGGATGGGATTACAGCAATGTGTCACAGCACCAGGCTTCTATTCCATTTTCCACCCCTAACTCTAAGCTTCTTGATTTTAGTACAAGCACAAAGATAAAGACAGATTCAAGAAATAGTGTCACTGAATCCCAAGTTAATAAGGCAAAGCCCAACTGAAGGGTGAGCCCAAGACTGCTTGATACTCTATGGTGCAGGTGGGGACAAAGGGTGGTACCAAAGGGAAGTTTACACAACTCTCCTCAGGATAGGCTTTATCCCTGGGGGAAAGAACCTGTAGCCACTCCTATCACACAGTTCAGAGAATGAAAATGCTCCTCATTAGAGGAATGATAGTCACAGCATTAAGTACTAAGGAAATGAGGAACAGATGGACGGAACTCAGATTAGACCCACCTCTGAGGTCCTAARGCAGAGACTAGGTAAGAACAAAGGTAGGGAGGGGTGAATCCAATCTCACTCATCTCGGATCCTGTGACACCAGAACCAAGAGACCACTGGGGAGCACCAAGCTTGTGAGATTAAGTCCCATGGCAGTTAGTGAGATTTACTTAATTTCTCAACCCCACAGATTCCCTCGCTCCTCTAACATTCTSTATGTGGGGTACCAGAAAGACTTCTGCCCTTCTTGTCCAAAGACATGGAAMGGGGAACCCAATCTTGCTGGAAAAGAGAGGAACAAGGGGAGAAAGAAAAGAAGGGGGGAAAAAAGATGAGTAGCTAACTATCTTGTTAGCTTTATGACACAAAGACAAAGACTCACTCAAAAGACCCCCCACACCACCACGTTGCATGGAGAGCAAATTCGCAAGGAGACCAAAAAGCAAAAAAAAAAAAAAAAAACAAAAAACCCGGCAAGACTCAGGAGCAGTTCTGCGTTCTATTAGCAGAGACCTGGCTGTGGGTCAGCTATACACGGATCAGATGTAAACGGAGGACGCACTCTAAACTCTTGTAGCTAGGAGTGAAGTCAGAGATGGCAGTCCCTAGGACAACAGGTCCAAAAACCAGATGGCGCCCCCCTCCCCGGCCCGAGACAGGAGAAAAAGCCCACCATTTGAGGAAAAGCACCCCTTAGAGGTCAGCGGCCAAGCAGTGAGAACCTGAAGCAGAGAGGGGTCGGGGCTGCCCCTCAGCGCCAGCCCCTGGGAGGTCCCCGCGGCAGAGGCCCCCACATTCCCTTGGGCAGGAGAGCTCGCGCCCACCCTTTGGCAAGCCCCGTGGGGAGGCGCTGGGAAGCGGCCAGGCAGGAACTCGCTGCGGTTACCTCGGCTCGGGGCTGGCAAAGCGCTCCCGAGAGTTTCGAGGACAGCCAGTCCCCCAGGGCGGCGTCCCCGACCCCAGTGTCTCCAGAGAACACGCAGCGTCACGCGGGGACAGAAAACGTCCGAAGCCCCCACCCTGCCTGACCCATTAGAGTTCAAATCCTCAGGGACGACGCTGACAAGGAAGCAGAGACTCGGTCTCCCGGTCCCCAGACTTGCCAGGCTCCTCGCCAGGGGTCCCCAGCCCCGAACCAGGGACCCGCGCCACCTGGGCTCCTCCGCCGCCGCCACCGGGCCGGGCAGTGTTTGTAAACAAACCGGTCACGTGGCCCCGGCGGCCCGCTCCCCGCCCCCGGCTCCTCGGCCCCCACGGGGACCCCACGCGGRACCTCGCAGCCGTACCGCCGGGCCCAGGGCGCTGCGCACTCGGCGGGATCCGGGCCGGAGGGAGCTCCGGGCGGGTGTCCAGTGCCCGGTGCGAAGAGCCCGCGCTGACAGCGCGCCCTACGCCCACGCGCGCCCAGCCCGCGCCGCGCTCCCGGCTCCTGGCTCGCTTACCCGGCAGCAGGCTGCCCCGTCCGGCCAGCGCCGGGCTCGGCTCCGCGGGGGTGCGCAGCAGCAAGGGACCGCCCGGCTGGATCGCCCGCTGCCGGCGCGCTCTTAAAGCCACAGTCTCCGCCACTGCCGCCGCCGCCGCCACTCTGCATCCCTTCAAGTCCGGGCCGGGGGCTGCCCCGTGACGGACGCGCCCCCGCGCCTATCCCCTCCGCTCAGCACCTAGCAACACGACACGGGTTGGCCTGGCACGGCCGCAGCCCATCCGCACGGAGCCAATCAGCGGAGGACGGAACTCCGCCCCCTGCTTCCCCTATCTCCCACCCCCCACCCCTCTGCCCTGGCCGGTCTTGGGTGCGGGGAGTGCGACGAGTCCCGGGTCGGGCCGGTCCCGGCAACTAGCAAGCGGGGCTGGAAGAAAGGGTGATGAGAAAGGGTGGTGGGCTTTCTGCGCCTGGGAGGAGGCTGTTTGGATTTGGGGTTTGTACCCAGGTCAAGACTGGAAGTCCCAGAACCTGGAGCTGGGGAGGGGGATTCATAGTATTTCCTACCTAGATGGCCAAAATAGTAATTCCACCCTTACACCTGAAGCCATTCCTATCCCGGGGTCTAAGTTGACAGAAGTTGCCCTCTGGAGCTGGGGCAGTTGAATAGTACCAGACCTGTAAGTGCWGATTTTCCAGGACTTTTAAAGGGAAAAGAGGTTGGTTAGCCCAGGAGAGAGTAAGATGGTCTGAGTGACCAGAGGGGAGGAGCCCACGTTCTAGGTCAGTGGGGTGGTGCTTTTCAAGGAAGAGAGGTTAAAAAATAAGCTCCAGGCAGTCGGGAGATCTAGGGAGGTACCAGGTGGGTGGAGTGGGGCAGAGTCTCCCAGCAGGAAAACAGGTCAATTTGATAAAGAATGCTAGCCAGGGAAAGGGCAGAGAAGTCCAGCCCTATCTGTCAGCCACTGGAGTTCTGCAATTCCTCCGAGGAAAGCACGTGTTTTAACTGCCAATTTAGGAAAGGAGAAAATAAAAATAAAGGAAACCACATGTTTCATTGAGCAGGTATCAGAATGTGAGATGCTTCTGGAGGTCCAGAAGACTCCTACCTCTGTCCATACACCAGTTTGCACATAAATTCACAGTGGTGCTGGGTTAGACACCCAGGTGACTCAAAACTTCACCTTTAACTGCATTCAGTTGTTTTTAAAATATATTGGGTCGACCAAATTGTATTCAATTAATGTATATTGCACGGTCCAGTGTGAATTCAGGCCCAATGTTAGTAAAAACAACAAAACGCCTCAAATACTTCAGTATCAGCCTTTGATTTGCAGTTTCAGTGTAAGGGCACTGTCGTCGTGTATAACTGACTAGTTTGGAAAGTCTAAATTGAAAGTCTAGTTTTAATTTCTGATGCGCCAATTAAGAACAGTTTAGCATTTAATCCTTAAACTAAGAAGAGGTGATGAATTTTTTTTTTTAATCAAAAGCTTGATTTCTACCTCTGATCTGCCTCTTGGGCAAGTTTCTTTGTCTCCTTAAGCCTTGTTTTCCACAGTTTAAAACAAGGAGGATTAGGGTCATTTGCCTTGTGTATGTGAACCCCTGGGTTCCATACCAGCATTGCAAAAATGAACAAAATAAGGAGGACTGAAATAAGATATTTCTCAAGCCCCTTGTAACTCTGAAGTTCTAAATAGTCAAACTTGTTACAACATTTCTGCAATATTGTGTTAGGGACATTTGTGTTATTCCTTTTGCCAGATCACCACCCCCTAACAGTAGATTCTGCATTGGTTTAACACCCTAGGATATGGGTATTATGTAACAAGATTGGTGGCTACTGTGTCTGTTTAAATAAAAGAYAATGTTAGCTAAAGAAGACTAGCCTGGTGCAGTGGTTCACAGGGAGCTCTGAGGACCCCTGCAGGCCTGCTCTGTGTTTGCAGAAGAGGCAATAGGACCACAGGGCCTGAGGACAATAGAATCTGCCAGTCAGCTATCAACAACAACATTTTATTACTATTATTATTAAACCTGATAATGGCTCCTCCCAGTGAAAAAATGCCAAGTGTTGTGAGTTGACAAAGAAGAAGGGAGAAGTGAAACAAGAAGTAGGTGAAACCATTCTCTTCCTCTCTGAACCCAGGCACATTTAGTTGTCCTCAGTATACATTCCACCAGTACCCATCATGTGCTTGATTTGGACATATTCTGAGAAACCATTGAAAGGAGAGAAGCTAAGACAAACAAAAAAATTATTATTTATCCTGGAGGAGAAGAGAGATGAAGCAATATAGAGATATCAACAAATGTATTTGGAGGCAGACAGCTCTTTTAAAACAAGTGAACACACAAAAAGTTTGAGAGGTTCCTGGCCTAACAGAGTATTCACCTGGCTTTGAAGAGTACACCTTATCCCTCTAGGAAGTCAAATTTATTCATTCCTAAAAGCCTTCAAAGCCATTCTTTTCCAGCATCTTCTCTCAYCAATCCTCTGTTCCCACTGTTGCCATGTAGATGCTACTACTACTATGAACAGGTCACTTTTATGTGCCCATCTTAATCTCTCCTAGCATTCGAAATGATTAACTACCTACCTCTTCCTTTCCCTCTCCCATATACTGATACATCAGCAGGTCCTGTCTTTTCACACCAAAATATACATTTGCTCTGAACATATCTCCACATCTTTCTCTATTGCTTCCACTCGGGGCTGAGCCACCAAGATCTTGGTTTTTTTTTTTTTTTTTTGGTTTGGTTTGGTTCTAGGGATGGAACTTAGGGGCACTGGACCACTGCCACATCCAGAGCCCTACTTTGTATTTGATTTAGAGAAGGTCTCACTGAGTTGCTTAGTGCTTTGCTTTTTGCTGAGGCTGGCTTTGAACTCGGGATCTTCCTGCCTCAGCCTCCTGAGCTGCTGGGATTACAAACATGTGCCATTGCGCCCAGTCCAAGGGGTAAGCAACAGCCACCCACCAGACCTCTCTGCCTCCACTCCATTTTCTATGAAGCAGCTAAATGATACATCTTCAAAACAAACTCAATTGTGGTGACCCACAGGTCTTCCCATCTGTCCCTTGTTCACCTTGCTCCAAACTGCCCTTTTTGTTCCTCAAATATTCCAGGTCTGGTCTTGTTATAGGAAATTTTACAGTTACCCCTCAGAATCTATAAGAGGAATTTACTTGATGCTTTGACTATATCCCTTGTGGCTTTGAAGCTTACACTTTTTTTTTTCTCTCCCAGATCTTCTTTTCCCTAAACTTCTCCTCCCTGATCTTCTTTTCCCTAAACTTCTCCTCCCTGATCTTCTCTTCCCTAAACTTCTCCTCCCTGAGCTCTCCTCCCTAATCTCATTTTCTCTGAATCACCTTTATAAAACCACCCTGTTCCTGTTCCTAAGGATGAGCAGAATCACAGCCTTTGATACAGAAGTTCCCTATCCTTCTCTTTTGCTAGAAAAGCTTTGAACTTTTTTTTCCAYTTTCTCAAGTTTGTTATTGGATTGGCATCAAGGACAAGGATAGCGCTTTCATTACATACCTATGGAGGGTTGGTTCCAGATCCCYTCCCCACCATGGATACCAAACCTTGCAGATGCTCAATCCCTAGGCACACCCTCCTAGATCCTTTAAGTCATCTCTAGATTACTGATAATGCCTAATACAATGTAAATGCTATATAAATTGTTAGATTATTGTTTAGGGAATAATGACAAGAAAAAAGTCTACCTGTTCAATACAAATACAATTTTTCCACTAAATATTTCAATCTGTGGTTAGTTGAATTCAAGGGTGCAGAACTCATGTTCCCTTCACCTAGAACATTTACAGGTGTGCACCACCACTCCCGGTCCTCAATATATTTTCTATGTAACACATATTACTCTCTTGTTCATTTTTGTTTGTTCTTTAATGCACGTCCATCACATCCAACTTTCAAGTGTAAACCCCACGAGAGCATCTGGAGCCTTGTCTGTCTTGCTTCCTGTTGTATCCCTAATGCCAAGAAAAATACCTGGCTCTGTTTGTTGAATGAACATCTGAACAAATGAGTGAATGTGCCTATTGCCTCACCTCCTTAATCCTGCAATTTCTTTCTCTTGGAATGCTGCCATCTCCTGTGTCCCTCTTCCTTCCCCCTCTACTCTTTTTTTTTTTTTTTCATCGCATCTCAAAGTCCTTTGCCTAATGATTCAGTCCAAAGATCCAATCAAATGTCAATTCTTTGGAGAAGGTTCTCTTATTCTCCTCAGCAAAATGAAATGTTTCTCTTTTCACTGCCCTGCATAGCACTTTATTCATAGCTCCATTACGTCACCCAACACTCCACACTCTCTATTAAAAGTTATCAGTTATCTGTCCTCTCTGCCAGTCCCTCCTGGGCTGGAAGCCTATCAGATCATCCTTGCATTTTTTAGCCCCTAGCCCACGGTCTTGTGGGACATGGTATTCCCACCCTTAAGGTTTATATCTGAGTTGCATCCAGTGGGAAAGCAAGCAAGAATAGATAGGGTCTGTTCTCAGAGTAAACTGATCAAGAGATAGCCATCTTACTTTCAAGTAGGACCACATTAACCCTGAAACTTCAGGATATTCTAATAATAAAAGGGGCAGCCTACATTTAAAAAAAAAAAAATCACAGGACAATGGAAACTTCCTGAAAGCTAAAAGCTAAAGGCTCTCAAACTACCACACCATCTGGGAACACATCCAGCTCTGCCTATGTGGGGAGTGGAGTTGCTCC